CTTGAACGACAATTTCCATGGACACTTTTTGCTGTGAGCTCCATTTTGTCTGACCTTTTGGTGCGCCTGCCCGAGGTAATCCAGACTCTAGAGACAACTCTAGAGGAGCACAGGCCCTGACAATCTTCTTGGTTGCAAGAGTCAACTCTCCAGTTCTGGCATCTGGTATATATATGTACTAGCACGGAAGTCAAAAATCGGCGCAATAGCGCATAGCTGTTTTTACGTCAGTTTGTGTTGAGCAATGTCTTCTTTCATCGCTTGGTTTCAGCAAGTTTTTGGCTTTTGTACTACCAGGATACCAAGGCCCATGGACAAAAAGTAGTTGTCTGTGTTTGGGCCTTGGTTCTCAGGGCTGGGTCTTGGCTTTCCCAAAGCCCAGGTTTTTTAAAGGCAGTCTGCCTAATCGCGGGGTAGGCGGACTGCCTGCTAAACAGTGTTTTGGCGTGTTCAAGTTCACCCAGTGCAACATGTGATGTCTGTGCAAGGCACACCATGGCAACTTGCAGGGACTTCTCTGCCCAGCGTACGTTTCACCTTGCACTTTGCACCCGCGGGGTGGCGCTGGGTGTGGAGCAACCAGGCTAGGCCATTGTGGAGCAACCAGGCTAAGGCCCAAATGGCCGAGCGAAAAAACTGGGCAGGCAGGTCAGTCTGAGCCCGGGAAGATTTTTGCAGAAATTTTTTCTCCGCCCAGAATGGTATCTATGATGATTTCAACACTGAATTTGGCTGTTCTCATGCCAGCTGTGCTGTCCATCGATTTTTTTGACGGGGTTCGATCTACGAATGCCCAATGTGAGAGCAGAAGTCATGCAATCTTTGAAAATGCACCAAATCCAGGTGGTGGTTCTGAGCCCTCCTTCGCAATGTTTTCCCAAATGATGCGAATCGATTTTGGGAAAATGAAGAAAGACGATCTCAAAAAAAGATGGCAGGATGCAATGTGTTTTTGAATTTCACAGTGGAGATCATCCACTACATGCTACGCATCGGTGGCTTTTTTGGTTTTGAACACCCCATTGGTGCTTCAAGCTGGAAGGTCCACTGTCGAGGAGTCACTGCGTTTACCCAACATAAAAAGAGCCCGATTTCATCAGTGCCGCTTCTGATTGAAAGCGCCAATCAGTAAGAAGCCGATTCGAAAGCCCACAGCTTTTTTGACCAATTCTCTGGAAGTTTTTGCAGCATTTGGCCAGAAGCTGTGTAAGTGCAAAGGCGTTCAGCCACACAGGGTCATCGAAGGAATCGAAGGGAAGTACTGTTTGTCCAAATGGTGTGAACAATACCCTGACGGCTTGTGCAAAGTCCTGGCCCATAGCCCAAGCAGAGAAATGGAAAACACGAAGAAGGCTGAAACTTAGGAAAGATTTGTTTAGCTGAGACAAAGTTCAGCCGCAGAGGTGGAAAACATTTCAGCCGCAGATTTGCAACAGACTGATTTTTTGATTTGTGAACATTTTTTCATTGGAACCCAACTTTTGCATTGAATCTGTTCTCTGAATCCAAGATTTGGCGCAACCGGACCTCCACTGAGTGAGGGGGGGGATTGGAATCCAACTTTTTGCATTGAACCTTTTCTTTGAACCCAAGATTTGGCGCAACAGGACCTCCACTCGGTAAGGGGGTTTGCGCCTATTTCGCCAGAAGTGGGCGCAAATCCTTGGGACTATGAAGGTTTTGGCGCAACAGGACCTCCACTGAGTGAGGGGGGTTTGCGCCAAAACCTTGGGAAACGTATGGGTTTGCACCCGCTTCGCCAGAAGTAGGCGCAACCTCACGTTGCGCCGGTTTCTGTTTCTTTGTCATCCAGAACTGAAACAGGTCGGAGACGGTTGCTTTGTTTGTTGAGTGAGTTGATGTCTTTAGCTTCCATGCTGCCCATAGCCTGCGCGAACCTCAGAGCTGCTCCTGGAGACAAACTTTTCGCTAGTGACGCATCCTCCTGGGGTGAGGCTTCAGTGGTGGCTGACATCCCTACCCAGGTGACAGATCAGGCATTCTTCACACAAGTCCGTTTGGATGCGATTGCTGCCTCCTGGACTTGCTTGTGCGTAAGATTCTTAGCCCCGAGCTAGAACTTCCTGACAGCGCCGAAGTCTTCCATATGAACCCTATTTGGCAAGTGCTGGCAACTAGTCCGCAGTTCAGATTGTTTCACAAAGAGAGGAGCGCTTCGAGTCGTCGCTTCAATGTGGGAGAGCTCTTGAAAGCCGAGCGGAAAGCAGGGCTGGCAAATCCAGTAAGCCGGAGCCTTTTCGGCCTCGATTCTCAGGTTGTCCTGGGTTGCGTCGCGAAGGGACGATCCGCGTCACCATCGCTGAACCGCGAGCTCGAGCGCAACGTTCCCTATTCGCTGGGCCTCGAACTCTATTCAGATCTTTGCTACTTCGAGACGAAGTTCAACCCAGCTGACGACCCCACCCGTGGGAGAGCCATCCGACCTTCGTCATCCCCTTTTCGTTCCTGGTGGCATGGCTTGAAAAATGGTTATTTCCCAGCCTTTGACATGTGGTGCAGTGCAGTTGGCTTGGACGCTGGCCTCCTGAATTTGGGTGAGCTTTTGGGTCCCACAGTTTCTTCTCCGTTCAGCTCAGCCCCACAGTTTTTGGCTGAACCGATCGAGCAGACTGACATAAAGCTGGAAGAAAGGAGAGGCTTGACGAGTTCTTGCTCACTTGTGGAAGACTACAGTGATAGTCAGCTTTGTTGGCGTTTTCGGCCCCCCTTAGCTCTGAGGATTTACGAGCCGCGCGAGCTTTCTTTGTCCGAGTTGCGGAACACGGGCAGGTTTTGAAAAGTGCTGATGCTGAATGGCCTCCTGCAGGACCTGGCTATTTGGATCTTTTCTCTGGCGCCAAAGGAGTGGCGAATGCGGTTCGCTCTTATGGCAACAGCTGGGTTATCACTTTCGGGCTGGCAGACGGACCCGAGCAAGACTTATACGTTCCCGAACTGAAGAGCGAGATTTTTGCGCTTTTTGGCACTTTGATTATTTTCAAGTTGGGGAGCTGCCCCTGTTTGCTCTCGTTTTTCCCAAGCTGTTTGGCCCCATGTCCGAAGCCTTGACGAGCCTTGGGGTGTCGCTTCTATGGGTGAAGACATGAGAAAGAAAGTTAGGGCTGGAAACGACTGTGCTATCGGGCTCTTCAAGCTTGTGGAGCTTAGTCTTTTGCTGGACATTTTGTTTTGGGTTGAGAAGCTTGGCAGTTCGTATTTGTTCAACTTGCCTCCTTGGAAGCTACTAGCAGAAGAGTGGATCGACTACTGTCGGTTCGGCGCTTGGCGCAAGCGCACCAAGTTCTTAACGCCGGACTAAGGATGTTTTCGACTGTGCCTCGGCAAGCGTGAGCACCTGCAGCTCCGCGGCCGGAGTCCTTATCGCCGCCGCTCCTGGACAATGGTTGCCAAGGAATATCCTAAGGGAGTACCAGAAGGATAGGAGAAGCCAAGCAAGTGGATCTTGATGCCGCCCTCTGGTTGAAGCAAAGACCCAACCTCTTCAGCGTTTGTAGCTGGTTCATCAACTGGTGTAAGGAGCGAGTCTCCCCTGCTCTAGCTGACAGCTTGAGTGAACAACCAGTCCTTTTAGTTCTCTTGGTGAAGGAGTTCGGGAAACACTTGTTTAGTTCTGGAAAGCCGCTTTATGTGCTTCGTCGCCTGGTGGTCATGGTCCAGAAGCAAGTCTTCGGAGCTCGGAGCTTCATTTCTCCTGGCTGGGAATTGATTCAGAAGTGGGAGGATCTGGAACCGCCATCGCATCGCATCCCGATCCCCCCCGCGTTAGTTAGAGCCATGGCAGTTACTGCTTTGCAATGGAACTGGGGCCGATTTGCCTGCGCAGTCTTGATTTCTTTTTTCGGGATCGCCCGCCCTGGCGAAGTCTTGAGAGCGTTCCGCTCTGACCTGGTGCTGCCATCGGATTTGATGAGCGACGAGGACTCTCCTGCTTTTCTGCAAGCGCGATCGCCGAAACCTCGGCGCAAAGGGCCGGACCCAGCACGCCACTGTCCACGAACCCTTGGTCATAGATCTTTTGGAGTGCTTCTACAAAGACTTCAGTAGAAGAGAACTGTTGTACGGCATTTCTCCATCCAGTTTTCGCCGAAGGTGGGGCGCCATCCTACTGCACCTAGGTTTGGGCCGGCGTGCGAAGCTTGCCACTCCTGGAGGTTTGAGAGCGGGAGGAGCTGTGTTTGAGTACAGACGAGGAATCGACCTGCAGCACCTGATGTGGCGCATGAGACTGAAGCAAGTAAGCGCTCTTGAATCCTACTTGCAAGAGGTGGCTGGAAGTTCCTTTTTAGCTGAGCTTCCCTTATCCGCCCGGCATCGCATTTCCTTGATTTCCAGTTTGTTCGATCATTTTCTTTCGGTCATCGCTGCGCGTGGAGCCCGATCTACGGCAAAGTCCGTCTATGGGCCCTTCAAAGACCAGCGCGGACTGCTTCCTGCTCCAGCCCGGTCATAGGACCCTCTTTCTGTTGCAGATCTAGGATCTCCTTCTTTTTCCTGGATCGATCCGACTTGGTACAGAGACAACTTCATGTGTGGCCGAGAGCTCAGAAAAGCAGCGCCGGCAGCGCTAAGAGGGCGGTCAAGGAGTGTGATATATATATATATATATAAACATCACTTTCTTTTTGAGCTCCACTTCTCGCGATGTTTGTATCCGCTTGTCGGCTGGAGGGCAAGCAAAGCCGAGCCAACAAAAGCACACTGGATAGTATGTGGAGCCCAGCATGTGCTATTGCAATATTATCTGCTTGGTAGACGAAATCCCACTTAAAAAGGTGTAAGCGGCTCGAGTTGACTCTAGCGTTCACTGATGTAGAAGCGCCGCAGGAGTCGGACAGTGAGTACTCAGTAGACCTGAGAACCCCGTCCATGACAAACATGGGGTGCGCTTTGTTCAAGCACAAGTCTGAGTCTGCGCAATTTTGTTTTGTAGAAGCTCAGTTCGCAATGCATGGAATGAAACATTTTGACTCATTTGCCAGGAGCGCGCCGCCCATGCAAGGGAGACGGCTGAGAAGCGCCACGTGGATGAGTAGGGTGGCCTGACATTGCTGCGAGTGTTCTCAATGTTTTTATCATTTTCTTTCCTCTCCTGCACCTCTTTCAGACGTTCTAGAAGAGGCTGAGAAACGTTTGCGCGGGATGTTCGGTGACTGACCTCAGGCAACCAAATCAACAGTTGTTTCTTTGGGTTCATTCAGCTCAGTCCATGTTTTGAAATTAGACACAATTTCATGCCAGTTAGTACACAGTTTGGGGTCAGGATGTTCTGGATGGCACGTAGACCAGCATGTTCCCAGCGCCACTGCGGGCCAAGAACTGGAGAGGATGCTTTGCCAGATTCAGCCAGGGACTTGGATTGAGGGGTTTTTGAACCATTGAACAAATGCCCACTCACTTGCAAACTATGCTGGGAACCCAAAGGGCAACCTTGCTGCCGAAGCATGGCTAGAAGAGCATTTTCCACACTAGTCAAAGTTGAGAATTTCGGAGGGACGGTGGTTGCATAGGCCTTATAAATGAAACCTCTCTACTAGGAGCAAGGACGCTACTAGGGGCTCCTGGCCGTACTACTAGTAACAAGGACGCTACTAGGGCTCCTGGCATCGCTACTAGGAGCAAGGACGCTACTAGGGGTTCCTTGTAAAACCTCTGATTCTTTCCCGAGTGTCTATGAACTTCGACGATCTACAGCCACGGGTCATCCCAGGGCCCAGCCTTTGCCATGGAGAATGCAGAGCAGGCTTGGCCTGGGTCGTCAAAGGCACCGTCCTGTTGTGGAAGTCACCCAACAATGGCCATCATGCAGAGCAACTTGATGTGTGTCTTTCGAGGTATGATATGCTTGGTGATTCATGATGATTTAGGTCTCATGGGACAGCTGCAATCCTGAAAGCCGAAAACCCTGGAATTATCAACCCAGAGGTGCAAACAAGTTGGATTGTTTTCAGTAGTGGTGCAAACTCATCAATGTCGCGTCCTTTGTTACCACAAGCAGGGAGAACTTCAGGTGTTCGGCAGCAGAAAACATGCGCCCAGGATGATGCTGTCGATGATCTCTTGGGGGATCTGCTGGCCGTGGCAAAGCCCAGACCATTGACTGGTCTGTTTTCTGGAAGGGCGAAAACTCCGAGAAGACACGCACACACTTCCAAGACATATCCGCAAACCTTTCAGGGCGCAGGGACCGCACCCACGCGGAAACATGAAAAGCACTTGATGCAGGTGGCCAACAGGGGATGTTGAGCATAGGGTTTGCAAGTGAAATGCTCTCCAGAATCAGTTTCATCGCACAGATATTCAGAAGGTCCTTTGAACTCACTGAGCCATTGAGCTGCAAGATTTCGATGACCAGATTCACAGATTTCAGATTTCTGGTCTTTCTTCCGCAATTGGTTCACGCTCACAGAGCTTGAATTAGTAGTCAGTCTACACAGATGAAGCCAAGTGGCCACTTCCAGATGAGAACTTCTCCGTTTCCCATCAGATCATTGGGAGGCCGCCCAAGTCCTGACGGACCGAATTTCGCTCAGGTTGAAGAGACTTTCGAGGTGGGCCCTGTCCAAGGCTAAGCTCAGCGACGACTCTGAACGGGGAAAGAACGATGGTAGCGATAGTTTGGACAGAGAACGCACACCTAACTCCAAATGAACTGGCATGTTTTTTGGAGGTGTTTGGATCAGGAAATGCGCAATTGTTCCCTTGCTCTGGCCAATCGGTTTTCTTGAAGATTGATTTGAGCTAGATGAGTTGTGAGAAACCCGTTTTCGCGTTTCATGTGTGAAAACAAAACATGTGCACGCATTTCAATTTTTCCAATGACGCACTGGGGTCAAAATATGTGTTGAATGTCTCGCTGGAATTAGTAGGTCCTGCTGACCATTGCTGACCTAATTTTGGCTTCAGGGGAGGGCAGAAAGCAACTCTCCATGAACTGCATGTGATTTGCATGACAGCTTGAATGCAAAGTCACGGACCATTGGCTCTTTGATTGATCTTCGATACATCCCGGCTTGTATTTTACGGACAGCAGCTTGCTGTTCAACTCGCTTAAAGCCCCTTGGACAGCAAAAGAGGTGTGGTGGATAGGAGGAGGAGGTGGAAGAAGAAGTGGTTGGGCATCATTGGTGCTTTCAAACCCGACCCAACGACGACCCAATGACCACCCAACGCCCACCCAATGACCACACCGAGGCACTCTCAGAAAAGATGTGTGCTCGTTCAAAGCCTTCCATTGAGAAGGGAAGCAGCCCAAGCCCAAACAAGGACAGACTTGAGAGGTTTGCGGTTTGCGTTGGTCTTTGACTGTTTTGATGCGTACAATTCCGTTTCAAATTCGTATTGGGGATCACTGTGCTGAAAGTGCTCAGCGCGGTTTTGTTGCAGGCTAATGGCACTTACGTTTTGGAAGAGCAGCTGCAGAAGCTATTGGTTGGCCAAAGTCACTGGCAGGCACGGCCATCCTTGTGGTCATGCTACTTGTCTTTTGGAAAGACCAGCTGATACGGCATGGACCAATCTGTTTTTTCCCAGCATTTTCCATCGAAATTCTGCTCATGTCACTTGGGCACGTACAGGTCCACGCCAAAGCCTCCCTGAAGTTGCTTTCCCGCCGAAAGCTGCGCCTGTCTGGCAATGCCCCTTGGTAAGCGACAGGGGCCAACAGGGGCCGACAGGATCTGATCCGAAACCTCCAAGCTGTGCGTACCTTGGAGACGCTGTGCTCAGGTGCCTCCGACTCCAACACCTTTGCCGCTGCCCAAAGTTTTGCATGCGAAGGAGTCCAGGGTTTTCTCAAGAGAATTCAGGCCACAGCTCATGACCTGACTTTGTCCAATTTCAGGAGGACGGCAAGGAGCTTGTCGAAGAGCTGAAAGACTTCGACGTCAGTGGGCAATCAAGCAACAACTCGTTCAAGAGGCCTTTGGTAAGGGTGGCCATTGGCCCATAAGGGTCCCTTTTGCAGAGAGAATGCGCTTCAACCGATTTCAACATGCTCCAAACACCACAGTGCACAAATACTACAGAGGAGAACCCCTATTTGACCTTCAGTTGCCAAGACCAAGAGGCAGGAGACCTTTGGTTGAGGACCAAGAGATCTCCCCCGTCAGACTGTGTGCTCAACATTCCTCAACTAGGAACAATAAGCTACTAGGAACAAGTGCCTCGCTACTAGGAGCAAGGGCCTTACTAGTAGTAACAAGAAGCTATTAATCTAAATTGATTTAGTTTAATTCTAAAAGTTTGTTGTTCCTACTAGTAAGGCACTTGTTACTACTAGCGAGGCACTTGTTACTAGTAGTAACAAGAAGCTACTAGGGTCACATCTGCGGATGGTCCCAGGCAGATCTCTGCGCCTGCCGCTGTGAAGTTGACATTGGCCGAGGCATGCTCGCAGGCGCCAAAGTTACTGTACTCATCAAGGATTGAAAAGACTTTGGAAGGAACATGGTGGAACTACAAAGGGGGTTACACGACATGATAGTGTTTTTTTGTGCCCTGTAGCCACTGTAGTCCCATAGATGGAAAGAAGAGGCACAAACCTGAGCCGTTCATGCGTCCACTCGGGGCCAGGTTGCTCAAAAGCAGGCGAAGGAAATCGAAGAGGTGGAGCCTGAGGAGAGCCGAAGGGGTCGAGCACTGTTGCTCCAAAGTCACTAAGACGACTCATTTGGTCAAATCCTTTTGAGAGTGGTGCCATACGGTAGATGCCCTGCTGATGTTCTTGAAAACATGGCATCACCTGCTTTGACTAAACTAAGCAATGGTTTCTGCATCGATGCAGGAGCGCCCTCCCATGATGCGTTGGCCTCTCAGACACCCAAACATGCCCCCATTTGACTTGAAAAGGACACATCAACTTTATCTTAGGAGCAAGGACGCTACTAGGAGCAAAGGGCATCGGAACTAGGAGCAAGGACGCTACTAGGACCATACTTTGAACTGATCGGCTTGCACTGAGGCCGCGAGACGCGGGCCAATCTTTTGCAACACGCATCAACCTGCCCAGGACTGGAAGAGTTGTCATAACCTTTTTTTGTAGAATCTCCTCAATAGATTTGAGACACCAGTTTTATCGAATGGAATGACAGCAAAGGCAATTCTCATGTTCTGACGGTTCCTGGGTCCCAAGCCACTTCCTTGCTTGCCGCCCCGTCAGGCTATGGTCGGCCGACCCTTTGCTTGCACTTCGAGTCAAGAGAAGAACTGGAGCTGCACTTTCAACAGAGATGTACAAATGACAATACAGCTTACACCACTGGATTGCCATTCCTTATCATCCCTTTGCCTTACACCAAAACCGCTCAAAGCCTACACGATCCTACAGTAAGCGCCCAGACGTCGTGTATTGATCTTCACCTACTGGCTTCTTCATGGCTTTGGCCACAATTATATACAAGATACACTTAGACCATTCTACCCACAACACGGAATGAAAGTGCCTTCGGAGCAGAAACGAAAGAAGCTGCAAGTGCCACCTGGATCTTTCAGACGCTGAGTGAAGTTGAAAGCATGGTGTGACGAAATAAATCGTGGATTTTCAGGGCAATCAACACCTCAAGCAGGGCAGGCTTGCTCGAAATATGGAGCACCCGATTGAAATAGATACATACCCTTCCGCGTCTTGTGTGGTGCGTTGACTGGCAACCGCTACTGCCAAAAGAAGAACATATGGAGGAATAGATTATAGAAAGTTAGACTCTTGCGTGTGCTGTTGCATGGGCGAAGCTACTGTACTTCCTTTCCGTTCTGTATGTTTGCCGTAGTCAGGCGGGGAAGATTGAATAGCCAGTATGATTCGAGGGCATGATTCTCCATGAAACCGCGTTCTAGCACATTTTTTGAAGGGCAAGATTTCGAAGGTATGAACTGAGGTTCAGTTCTTCGCCTCTAGATATATGGGTCCTGTGCACCTTGAAATGAAAACACAGATGCTTTATATTGAAAAAAGCCACCAAGATTGATGACTGGCCTGATGAAAAGCTTCCAGGGCTTCAACACACATGAGAACATGCATATTGTCTATATATATAATAAATAAAGAAATACACATATATATATAAATCGCACAACCGCAACCATACACACACACACACCAGATCATACCCCAGTCGGTGGAAGCACGGCTGTGTACATGTGAGCCGACTTAGGATGATTCCGAGCTACTGGCCTGAGTATGTGATCGACATGTTCCAAAACGCGCGTGACATGGCAGAAACGAGGACGACGTAGTGGGGATGCGGTTGCAAAGGATGATAGCACCAACCCAAAAATGAGGTAGAACCTCTCCAATCCATGAGATGTGTGATTGATTGCTGTCTGATGCAGATCTTTTTTTTTTCACACTTATTCTCACCTGCTGAGCTTGAGGTCTGAGTGAAATGCCTTTTGTGTCCTTCACCGAGAGTCACTGGCGCTTGCTTTGTGGCTCTTCACAGATGCCACACCCGCAGAAGGCCGGTTCGAAGTTAGGGCATCAAAATACGTCCCTGGCTGAACTGGAGTCGGCTGTTTCACTGAGGCCTGTCATGATTTTTGGTAGGATCGGAGGTGGCACGCGAAAAATCCTATTCCATGCTTGGTATTGGAGGTATGACGTACCCAGAGCATTTTCTGAGATTGAGCAGACAGAAATGCATTTCACTGGGTAGGGCAAAGCTGGCTCGGTCAGGCTCTTACAGGCGGCGAAGACAGTTTGTTTGTTTGCCCCAATGGCAGCGCCGCAGGACCGGGATGGGGTTCAAGACTCTTCAACCCCCCCTCTCATTGGATTCCATTCACGATATTCACGTACTTGATTGCGCAAAGTAGTACGTCAAAGCTATCAAGACTAAGTTGGAGGAAAACTCAGTGGTGGTTCGAGTGAGGAAATTTAATGCCGTTTAGTAAAGGTTTCTTTCGATTTGCTGTGCAACTTTGACTCACCGCGAGCCTGAAAGCGAGGAGTTGCAGATGGTGTGGGCGAATGGCAGTGGCGTTTTGGTCTCGACCCGCGAGCTTTCGCGGATGAATTGATGTCCGGGTCTCAATGCAGAAACAGGTGGCCAATCAAAAGCGCATGTGTCTAAGCTTCGAACGAGAAAGATCTGCAGCCCCAGGAATGGAGCGAAGACTGCTGGTGAGCAAACACAACACCAGGTGCAGCCGAATGGGGGCAAGATCTTCATAGGGTTGGGGGGGCAATCAGTCTTGCTGTGTTACAGTGAGTGGATGCTTGGCCTGGGTAGGTTGGAGGCCATCGCTAATAGGTTAGAGGCCATCGCTATTTTGGAGACCATCGCCATTAGGTTGCTTTCTAATTTCCTATATTAATATTTGTCTTTTAATTTGCTAATTTCTTTTCTAATTAGGTTGGTGCTTCTCCTTTCTGCGGAGGTGGGAATGAAGGCCGCCATGCGTGCTCAGTTGATGCTGTCGGAGGGCTATCAGGCAGGTTTGGCGGGGTTCGAGATGGGAGGCTTGCAAAACCGTATCAAGGAATGTTGCTTCATAGGCTTGGATAGGTGTTGTTTCGGTTTAGGTTCACCATAGACAGAAGTGATGGCATACATTTGATGAA